AAAAAAAAAAAAAAAAAAGAGAGAAGGAAAAAGTAGCAGACTAAAACAGTTTGCCATCTGTTACATGTATGAATTTTAAAAGCAGTTTAAATTCTTAGAGGCCTTTGTATCCGAGCAGTTTGTCTGTTCCATGAGAGCATTGCACTTACGAGTCGAGCTACAATGGTGAAGGACAACGTAAGAAATTCCTGCGGAGGAATTAGTGAGGTGATAGTGAAATGAGCTGCACGGGACAGTTCATTTGCTTCTGTTTCCCCTAGCTTCCATTCATTTCTTAAAGATTTGTTGAGATAAAGGAAGTTTTCAAAGAGGAACTTTTAGGGTCCAAATTATGTATTATTTTTTCATTGTCAGAATCAAAACAGTTGTCAATTCCAAAATACCTTTGTTTGTCCTTTGAAGAAGTAGCTTCATCATTGTGTTTTCTAACATAGCGCTCGTGTACGAGGCTCCACTCTTGAAAACCTTCTTCCTGGGAGGCGCTGCAAGGTGCTGAGTTGGACTCAGGCTGCTTGTTTGTGATTCCTGAGAATGTGCTAGAGTGCCGTCACTCTCTAGACGGTTCCTCACCTCCATCACATTTACTAGACAACATTTTATTTCTGAGATCGTTGCTTTCTTTTTGGTGACAAACACGCAGTGAGGGATTTGATGGAAGATCCACGAGAATTATTAACAAGTACTACTAATTTATTGCAATCGGGTAGCTAAGATACCTTGAAAACTCCTATAAGAATAATGACCAGTAGTTTTAAAAATTAAGGTTTACTAGGGGCTTCTTATGACGAGACCTAGTACTACATTTTTGAGTTAATCATTTTCATTGAAAAGCTAATCATTTCTCATTTTAACCTTACCAAAAACCTAATACAAACAATTTATATTACTTCTATTTTACACGTGAGAAAATGAAATCTTGGTAAATTTAAGAAACTTGACCAAGATAAACCAGTCCACAAAACTTAAACTCTATTATAACTCAATCTTGTTTGCTTCTCCAGCCCCAAATTCTTGCTTGCCTGCCCCTTTCCCCTCGTCCTCTGATTTCCTCCTTCTTGTGAGTATCTAGTATTTCAAGGCAAGTATGAGAATGAAGGTTGCGCTACAGAGGTCCATTACGTTTATATAACTGGAGTAAATGCAATAAATTCTTTTACATAGTCATCAAGTATTTCTCAAGAATCCACTACAGGCCAGACATATATCCAAGGAAAAAATGACAAATATAATTCTATGTCATAATATAAACATATTTTTTACAGGTTAATATTCTTCAATGGACTCAGTAAAATTATGTATACAGTGTCCCAACAAATACACAAAAATATGCTGCTTTATTATAATCTTTGTGAAAATATAGTTCATTTGCCAAGAACGTCAAAGGATAACAGCAGGGAAATTATTTAAAATTTAGTGGTTAAAGACTCTATGATGTCACATGTCATAAAGACTCTGATACATTTTTTTTAAATTCACTCTTAACATTTTCAAATGCCACACCCTTCATACTTAGAAAAAGTGTTTTTGGTTTGTTTGTTTGTTTGTTTGTTTTGGTACCAGGGATTGAACTCAGGTCCTGGAAAAAGTGTTTGAATGCCCAAGTTACAAATGATTATGGTCCTGCTAAAAATTATTTATTTTAGTTTATATCTCTAATTTTATATTTTAATATTCCAAAATAGTCTACTCAGTAATTGTATTGAGATGATGCTTTTGTGAATTAATGAACTTCTTGGTTTTGATCAACAATGTTCACTGTATTTCTGTGTGGTTTATACATATGAAAAATATTTTCCTGAATATCAAATGTGCTCTACATTCTTTATGTGTCTGTTTTCAGTTATTTAATATCAAATAATTACAGTAACAAACATAGTTTAAGTATACTCTTATAGTGAGAAATGCATGAAAATTTATTTACATTTATTATATGCAAATGTGATATATATCTAAATAATAAAATTTATTACAATCAGTAGGCTGTGTCTTGTGTTACTTTATATTAGTAATGATATATTTGTTGACCTTCACATTCTTTTCTTTCTTGGGTCCAAGCATAAGGAAATTGGTGAAGGTTTGAGATATTGCCCATACCTCTGTAAAGACAAAAGCTTGCATGGAAGCAAAAATGTCATTTAGGCTAATCACCTCATCTAATATAAAATTAGGGTAGTATTTACTTTTAGTAAAAGGTAACAATATCTTTAACACTAATCCCATTGTTTCAAAGATGAAAATGTTACTTAACCAAATCTGATTGATTGTTGCATTCAGTAGGGTGTGTTTAGTGGAGGATGGTCTCCTTTCTGGGGCAAAGAAAACAAATGATGACATTTTCTGAACTGACTATTCTAGGAGGGACCTCTTAACCAAGAAGCTTCCTTAGCATTGTAAGCATCAGATGCCTCTTTATCACTTCAAATACTTTTCCCAGTTTTTTATCAAAAAAGAAAGCCCGATTCAAGTGTCTTGTGTAGTGTTAGGATGGCGTTTGCTACTTTTCATTATACCTACTTGTTTGTTGCTCCATTTCACCTTTTCCAACATACAAAAAGCTACTCAAAGCCCAGAAGCTGTGTCGCATGTATCTTTTCATTTTTACTGCCCAGCATAGTGCCCTTGGTTCAGAAAATAAATAAATAACCATGTCCCTGGGCTGTGAAACATTTATGAGAGCTGACTTCAAATTTTGTTTCATGTTCTGCAATGACAATTCTTCTGTCTTAAGACTCTCCCAATGTATAACATGACGATGATGGAGCATTTGTGGCACATCTCTATGAATTGTTCACTGTTTTCAATATTTTATATAAGTAAGAATATTTCTTTAATATTATTTTTATTACTATAAATAAATAACATGAAATTTTATTACCCCAAATGATTCCACTCTGAATGAAGTAAGTTACTACTTTATCGTTAGGGTTAATACTGTAGCATTTAGGGTTGTAAGAAAGTATTTCTTCTATAGAATAGAATGTGTGACCAAGTATTGTCATACCTGTACTGAATTGTGATACTATATCTGATTCATGCATTTGGCCAACATTCATTAAATTTCACTATGCTGCCTTCTATATCATATCTTGATGTCACATGACCTCATATATCGGAGATTACCATTTACATCCTGAATGATAATACTGTTTTTTAATGACAGCATTTATCTTCTGTCTTAAAAAGAGACACATGATATACTGTAATTCAGTGGAAACCATAAATGATGTTTTCATTTCTAGGGTCTATATTTAAAAGAAATACTACAACCGCACTGATCATACTGGAAAAATGTTTGGATTAATTGTGAGAAGGACTTTTTATATTCTAATGTGTGTTTAATTCACTAGTTGGAATCCATTGATTCATTACCTCAATTTTCATTCCAGGCCCCCCAGGCCCTCCGGGTGGTCTGAGAATAGAAGATATTAGAGCCACTTCTGTGGCCCTCACTTGGAGTCGAGGTTCTGACAATCATAGTCCTATCTCTAAATACACAATCCAGACCAAGACCATTCTTTCAGATGACTGGAAAGATGCAAAAACAGGTACGTTTTCATTATATCGTTAGTCTGTTTCAAAGAGTCATGTGAACATTTTAAATCAAAAATTAAAACCTGAAAGTTTTAGAATTTCACTTTCTACTTTGTAGTGCCTTGTTTCTGTAACATTTTTGTTTTACTATTCAATCCAGTTGTTTGGTAATGGAAAACTATATGGATCTTAAACATTTAATCATTTTGAATCTACAGTCTAAGTAGATTGTCTTAAATCTGTAATGGAAAAAGAAGCAAAGGCCTTCAGGCTGCGTGTAATGCTAAGATTTACTGGCAAAAAAAAAGAAAAAGAAAAAAAAATCCTTGGGAAGTCATTATTTTGGTTAATGGTACATGTAACATTATTTATGATTCACCCAATAATATAGGTGCTATAATTTTGCATCTTTAAAAAGCCATACTGGTAATAAATATTAAACTTACTCATTTTTTCCTATAACCTTTAAAAGTTTTTATAAAGCTTTGGATCTTTCAAACTTTTTCTCTTCTTATATTAAGATGTTCTACAAGTCAATCAGGAAAAATCATTAAGAGTAAGTGGATGGTTCCCTTGTCTTTGACTATTAACCATTGCTATTTATCAGGGCCGGGGATTTAGCTCAGTGCTTCGGTGGCCTGCCTTGCAAGCGCAAGGACCAGAGTTCAATGCCTGGTACAAAAATAAAAAAAAAAAAAAAAAAAAAATTCCATTGCTATTTATCATGACTAATCTAGAATATCATGCATTAATATATTTTCACCTATAACATCAAAGAAGATAGAAGATATTTTTGGCAAAA